TCAGGTCATGATCCTGGAGTCCTGGGATCGAGTCCCGCATCGGGCTCCCTGCTCGGCGGGGAGTCTGCTTCTCCCTCTGACCCTCCCCCTCTCATACTCTCTCTCTGTCATTCTCGCTCTCAAATAAATAAATAAAATCTTTAAAAAAAAAAAAATAGCCATCCTCATGGAGGTGTAATGATATCTCACTAGAGTTTTGATTTGCATTTCCCTAATACTTGGTGTTGTTGAGCATTTTTTCATGTGCTTGTTGGCCATTTGTATATCTCCTTTGGAGAAATGTCTATTCAAGTCCTTTGCCCATTTTAATTCATGTTTGTTTTCATGTTGAGTTGTAGGAGTTCTTTATATATTGTGGATATTAATCCCTTGTAAGATATACGATTTACAAATATTTTAGCCTATTCCATGGGTCATAAACCCATTTTTAATCAATTATAAAATAACTCCCACATCTAAAAAGCCTTGGTTAAGACCTAACTTGTGTTTCTTCTGCAGTTCCTCACTGTTTTCCATGATGTTTGTGCCAAACCCCCCAGAATGGGGCTGAATGTATCAGCATTGGAGAGTAGGTGTGACCATTTGGCTTATGTCAGAATTTCAAAGACAGAAACAATTCTTGGTTTATGCAACTCAGAAAATTCCAGAGAAAGCCCCCAAATACTAGTCTTTTTTGCCATTTGAATAGATTGAGGAGATGGATATTTGGTCTTTTTCTCGATCAATTATCCTGGATTCGAGTGGAAAAAGGACTCAAAAGCAGGGGACATTTTAGACAGTGTCATTCCTTTTGGTCTTATGTATTGAGTGAATTTTATGCCCCGCATCACATTTTAAAAAGAATGAGTAAGACAAGGAAGTAATATCTGCGGGTCAGAAATCTAATAAACACTCTTCCAAATGTTCACACTATTTCAAAGAAGTGTTCAGTTACCACGTACAAATTGTATATTAAGGAGCTCATTCAGATCGATGAACAAGTATGAGAGGAGAAAAGGTCACAAAACAAGCTTCAGTGACCATTGAAGCAGTCACATTAATTTCCCTTGCCAACAAAGGTTTGAAAAAATTAAGACTCAGCAATTATTGAACTAGCTGAGCCCCTCAGGCAGGAGGAAATAAGCAATAAACCATCACCCTCAACCCCGGGATGGTGGCAGCGCAGATTGAATTAACGGATACACACACTGTTTTTGCTGATTTTTATATTCCTTTCATGTCATTTTATGTTTTGCAATAAAGGCAATTTGTAAGATTGATGTGACTGGCTTGCGGGCTGGGGGGAAAAGCGTTCTATCCAAGGGCAGTAGCAGGAGGTGAAGAAAGAAAACAGTGCATGACTCCAGGCTCAGGGAAATCTCCGCAGGGGAGGGATGGGAGCCCCTCGGGCAGCTCGGGGGCACAGTCCAGGCCCACCCGCTCCCCACAGCACCTGGCTTCCCAAATGTCTCAGCGCAGAATGCATTCACCAAAAGGAGAAACCGTGAGTCTGACTGTGGTTGAATGGGGCATCTGTGGTGGGGACAGGACATACATGGCCTTAAGTTGTGGGGACAAGGCTTAATGGAGGGAAATGAGTTGTTACTTATTTGGGGTGATACCAGGCTGACCTTCAGCGCTCTCCTCTCCTCCCTGCCATGGACCTCTCTGCCCCCACCCCCCCAGGCTTGATAGTCACCTCATCTGTGGGCCACGGTTCCAGGGCCTCCTTCCAGGGCTTTGGGACAGTAGCCAAGCCAACCAGGAGCTTTCTTCACCCCTCAGTCCCAAGGCCTCCAACCACTGTGTCCCTCACCAAGCCCTGCCTTTCCCAAGCAGGGAATCTGAAGTTCTATGGGGATGGGGAGCTCCCTCCCCATCTCTTTTCTCTCCAGACAACGGAGCCACCGCACTAGAGGGCACAGGCCCTACCTCTTCCATCAGGGACAGCCCAAGAGCCAGGCCTTGCTCTTCTGTCTCCTGAAGGTCTCGGTGGAGACCCCCAGCCTCAGGAGCTAGTAGCCACCCGGCGTTAATTTGCTTGGGCTGCCCTTACAAAGTACCACAGACGAGTGACTTCAGCAGCAGAGATTTATGTTCTCACAGTCCTGGAGGCCGGAACTTAGAGATCAAGCTATCAGCAGGGTTGGGGTCTCCTGAGGCCTCTCTCCTTGGCTTGCGGATGGCTGCCTTTTCCCGGAGTCCTCACGTGGTCTTCCCTCTGTGTGCCTATGTCCTACTCTCCTTATAAGGACACCAGTCCTATTAGATCAGGGCCCATCCTAAAGACCTCATTTTAACTTAAGGACCTCTTTAGAGGCCTTATCTCCATATACAGTCACGTTCTAAGGTGCTGGGGGTTAAGGCTTCACCATAGGAATTTGGGAGGAACACAGTTCAGCCTCTAACAGCCCTTCCCCGAAAGTCAGCTCTGTTCTGTGGCCCCAGGACTTGCCTTTCTATGACCGAGTGCTGAGCCACCATAGAAAGCAGTACGTCCTGGGCTGGGTGGGCTTTCCCTGCGGTGAGCACATGGCTGCCACCCCCACCTCATACACAGACATTTGTATCTGGGGGCGGGGGTACAGTCGTTCACACCCACGTGCACTCGCCAGCTTGGTGGAAATCCTGGTTTGGGGGTTACAGATGTGACTCCGACACTCCCCCTTTCCAGGACTTTTCTCCCGCATCTCTGACCCCAGTTCCACTCCTTCAGCCCAGTCTTTCCTCCACCCCAACTCCAGAGCTGTTGCTCATGCTTCCCGCTACACACCAGCCCTTGGCTTGGGGGGATCTGATAAGCTGAGATCCTCAGTGGCTGTTTGTTCATTGCACAAATGTGCTTTGGGCGCTGGCTCTGTGCCAGACACTAGCTAAGGGTTGGCAAGAAGAGGGTAGTGTCCCCAGAATCCTGCCACCAGCAGCTCCCTGCTGGGGCAGATGCAAGAGCTTGCTGCCATTTCAAGCTCCCATGGTGTCCCGATGCTCCTCATCCATCTGCTCTAAACTTCATATGGACCCAGAGAATTAGGCAAAAGTGCCCCAGATTTGTTGAGGAGGAAAACGAGATTCGCAGAGGTTAACAGGCAAAGCGTGGATGAGGAACCCGGGTCTGTCTGCCCTGAAGCCTGGGGAAGGGAAGGCCTCTGCTAGAAGACTCTGCCTGGGCTGTGTCTCTTGTCTCCCCTCCCCCACCCTGGGCTAAGCCACCAGCCTCCTGTTCTGTCTCCCCATAGCGATGGGCGGCTTGCTGTATCCATGGCCCAAGCCTGACAAATGAGCTAACTAACCCAGACGCAGAGTCCGTCTGCACGGGCATGCCACATGGACCCTCCTCCAAGCAGGCACCAAGGGAGCTCCTACGTTAAGACCCCCACGGGCCTCCCACATCACAGCCTCCCCTGACCTATGGAATTAAGGACCCAGGTTTGAAGCGGCGGGGTCCTTCGGTTCCAGAATGCCTAGAGTTGGGGTCAGAGGTCCAACAGCTTCCAACAACAAAGCAGCCACCTCTTAAACTCTGCTCTTCCACCTCGCAGACTGAGAAGGGCCCCTGAGGCAGGGGGCAGGCCTGAGCTGCTATTTGTCTGGGTGGAGCTTGTCGCAACACTGTTTATCCACCTTTGCCGGGGGCCCAAAGCCCCTTGGTGTGCGGAGGATACGGAGCCAGCCCTGGGCTCACAGGTCGCCGTGCTGCCTGCTCCAGGCCCTCGCTCCACCTCACCTCTGCACCCTGCCGCCCAGTGCTCGGCTCCCGGAGGAGGCCACAGTCAGCCGAGGCCACCGACCCACCACTGGAGCCATGGTAGGGTAACCACACAGCCGGTCAGCCCAGCAGGCTGGGCCCATGAACCAGGCACGGGAGGACAAAGTTAGGTCACGTCTGGGGCCTCGGGGAGGCCTCGGGGACCCTCTTGAATTGGACTTGAGGCTCAAGGGGTGGCACTGGGGTGTTGGGGAAAGCATGGGAGAGGAAAGCCTGGGTTGGACTCCAGTGTCTTGACTTGATTGCTGTGTGTGCTTGGGGAAGTTACTTCACCTCTCTCAGCTTCCGTTTCTGCTCCTGCAAATGGGAGTAATATTACCTATTTTGTGACTTTATTATAAGGTCTGTAAGATAACAATGTATAGAGGATTTCAATACAGTGCTCCGTACACAGGCCTCATCCAGCAAATGGGAGGCTTATCCCCAGGGCTCCCTGCTTTGGTCTAGAGGCCAGGAAGGCTGCTGCGGAGTCTCCCAGACTCGGCCCTTCCTAGCAGGAGGAGCCTGGTGGGAGAGCTGAAGGCCAGCTCCAAGTCCTCCTGGAGCCACCAGGCCAGCTCAGGCCGGCCCTTCCCCAGTCGCCCTGCTCAGCCGGAGTCCACCTGCTGGGTCCCTCCGAGAGGTGCCCCAGACGGACGGGGGACAGGAGCCCTGCGGCCTACTCTCCCGGCTCCACCCCTGACCCCGTCCCTTCTACTGAGAATGGACAATGTTTCCCGTGTGATCCGCCCCCGTGGCCGCGAGGGGTCAAGGGAGATCACAGGAAGCCCCGCACGTAGCTGCTCAGCTTCAGAGCTTCCGACGCGTGTTGCATCTTCCCACTGGCCCTGAGAGGTGACCAGGGCAGAGGAGCCTGGCTGGGCGCCCGGGCCCCAGCCTCCCGTCCTATGATGGCGGGAGCGTGGGAGGGCGTCAGGGCAGCCCGCGGCCACATATCTGTGGCCTCCCAGCTTTCTTGCCCTCACAGGTCCATGGATACAAAGGAGTCAAGTTCCAGAACTGGGCTAGGACCTATGGCTGTTGTCCAGAAATATACTATCAGCCCACGTCCGTGGAGGAGGTCAGAGAGGTGAGTGTGCATCTACGGCTGGAGACCAGGCCCTGCCCCGGAGAGGAGGCAGGGACTGGGGACGTGCCGGGCTAGGACCCCCCACCTCCACACCCCCTCCACCCCAGAACCGCTGGCCAGGCGAGAGCTCCGCGAAGCCGGCTGCAGTCCGGGCCCTGGCCTCCCCTGCTTCAGCGCCCCGTTACAACTGTCTGGTTCACCAGTGACGGCCGGCATTGCACTTCCAGCTCAGACCTCTCCTCCGGGCGTTCTCCTTGTGTGTCTCAAGGTCATCACAGACCTCCATGCCCCAAACTACACTTCCAGTGTTCTTTTGTTCTTGACTTAAACCTCTTTTGTGCCTGTCTCTGCGTGGGGCACCTGCTTGCTCAAATTGGAGGCCAAGAAGTGGGGCATTACCCTTATCTGGCATCAGTAAGTCTTGCCCCAGAAGCTTCCAGAATCCATCCCCTTCTCTAAGGTACCATTGCCGCTCTCCATGCCCAATCCGCCATCCCTTCCTTAACCACCATGACCTGCGGTGGCCTTGTCCCTGGTCTCCCTGCTTCAGTTCTTACTTCCTTGGAATGTAATTTCCACATCAGTAGAAGTAGTTTTCTTTATTTCTTTTTTTTTTTTTTAAAGATTTTATTTATTTATTTGAGAGAGAGAGAATGAAAGACAGAGAGCATGAGAGGGAGGAGGGTCAGAGGGAGAAGCAGACTCCCCGCCGAGCAGGGAGCCCGATGCGGGACTCGATCCCGGGACTCCAGGATCGTGACCTGAGCCGAAGGCAGTCGCTTAACCAACTGAGCCACCCAGGCGCCCCAGTAGTTTTCTTTCTTAAAATGTAAGCTGGATGGGGCTACTCCCCTGCTTCAAGCCGTTCAGAGGCTCCCTATTGTACGTGGAGTAACACTGTAACTCGACTCCCAAGGCCATATATCACCTGACCTTGGTTCACCCTTTGTTCATAAGACAAACCAAACCTTTTCCTACCTTGGGGCCTTTGTACTTGCTATTCTGAACACCGCCAGGAATGCCTGTCGCTTCACTTTTCACACAACTAACTCCTTTTCATCCTTTAGGTCTCAGGGTAAACTTCAGCTCCTCAGTGGATTCCCACACCACCTTATCTGCATGCAGTATGGCCCCAGTGTTCTCTGTCCCTGTGTATGTTTCCTTCACTGCGTATTTATAATCACTTGCCATTATTCTCTTTCACAGATGGGTAAACTGAGGCTAATAGAGGCTTTGTTATTTTCCCATATTAGTAAGTATCAGAGCCAGGATTCACACAGGGGGATTGTCTGATTCAAAGCCCCCACCTTCTTACGCAGGAAAAGCTACACACTGGAAAAGTGGTTGAGCTGGGCCCAGGAGAATGAATAAAAGCTCCACAGGGGGCTGGGGAAGGGCACTGCGAACAAGGGAAAGTGAGGAGCATGCCTGGTGACTCAGTGGACGGGTCAGGGGTGGGGACAGACATGCCTGGAGGGGATGGGTGGGCGGAGGGCCGAACAGGAAGGCTGGGAAGGTGGGATCAGAGGGCTTCCCTCTGGCTTCCTTCTGAGCTGAGGGAGAAGTTAGAGGTACGCTGAGATGGCCGTAGGCCAAGGCCATCCCTCAGCTGTGCTGGCTTACACAGTTGTGAATTCCTTGCAGGCTGAGGCCACTGAGGGCCGACATCTCCCTGGAGGGCTAGTAGGGCCCTAAAACCCGGTTGTGTGGTCAAGGGGGCTCACGGAAGATGATGTTAGACAGATTTCTTCGTTGTAGAGCCTGTAGCTTTAAACATGCCACAGGCATTGTGGGTGGAGAAAGGAGCTAGTGAAGACAGAGCACTTCCCAATCTCACTTGCTCATGGAACCTCTTGTGGTACCTGTTGTCAAACCAGAGTTCCGTGGACCACATGTGAGGTTTTTTGAGCAGGGACGTGAGGGTGAAAGGGAATGCATTCATTTAAGTGATACCAGGCGTATATTTATTCGTTCACTCAGTGATCACTAGCGACTAGTGGGGCTGGGTAGACACAGGTACCAAGTCAAATTAAGCCCCTGTCACCCCCAGGGGCCTTCATTGCAGCCCAGGAGGCAGCTGAGCCCAAGTAGGCCAAGAGGAGCAGCCGGGACCTTATGCTGAAGGCACTCGGGTGCCCTTGGAAGGTTTTGTGCAGGAGAAGAATGCAGTCAGGTGTGCCCAGCAGCAGCGGGGAGAGCGCACGGGAGCCCCACCTTAGGATGATCCCTTGGTTCTCCATCCCGCTCACTTCCTGGCCCTGCACTCTGGTTCCCTTTCCCGGAGTGGACTGCACAGCAGCCTCCAGCCGGGCAGGGGCCTTGGAGGCCTGGGGGTGCAAAGCCTGGGCGGCCGCCCCCCTGCAGGCCCTGCAAAGTCTCCAGCTGCCTCAGGGAGAAAGGCCTGAGCTGGGGCTGACTCTGGTATGGTCTTGGCAGGTGCTGGCCCTGGCCAGGCAGCAGAACAAGCGGGTGAAGGTGGTGGGCGGTGGCCACTCACCCTCCGACATCGCCTGCACTGATGGCTTCATGATCCACATGGGCAAGATGAACCGGGTTCTTCAGGTACTCAGGGCCCTCAGCTCCCCACCTCTGCTGGCCCCCAACCTGGCAGCCTCAGCCTCCACCCCAGGCCCCAGGAAATGCCTTAGCCTTTGCCCTCAGGCCTCATCCTATTCCCTGTCCCTGAATCCAAAGTGACACCCCAATTCCTGATGGCCCCGTGATCTCACCCCTCCCCAGAGCCCTCTGTGGGCCTCCTCAAGCTTCTTGTCAGGTGTGGGCGCTTCCCTGTGGCCACAGGATGTTCACCCCCTCCTGTCAGGGCCCCCTCTCTGCTTCTCTAGAAAAATGACAAGCCAGACCCCTAAAGATGCATTTGCAATGACAAATCCAGAAGGACTGACACTTAACTTGTTTACATATGGGGAAACAAGATCAGAGAGGGTGAGTGACTTGCCTAGGGTTGCACAGCCAATCAGTAGCAGAGCTGGGCACAAACTCAGGAGTCGGACACCAGCACGGTGCTGAGATAGTGTCCGTGCAATTCAGCTAGCACTTGGTGAAGGCACCTGCCAGGGCGTAGAGGTCAGACAGGTGCCCTGCACGTTGGGAGCACTCCTATTCTCCCCTCACAGGGCCAGCTCCCCTGAGCTATAGTTTTTGCCGGATAAACTCCTCTCCCCCCCAGCCCTGCTAGCAGAGGTTCTGGGTTCCTCTCTGTTATTTCCTTCTTTGCTCAGGCTGACGGTCTCCACGCTGTAGAAAATGTTCTGGTCAAGATGTCGGTCATGGCAGTAATGAACTCTGATGGCTAATTAGTGAGGATTGGCTCCCACAATTGATTTTGCCCAGCTCTGTGCTCAGGGTCAGTGCAGTGCGCTGATGAGGATGTGATTTGGAGTCACAGAGATGTGGATTCTCCTCTCAATTCCACCCCCAGTGCTTGTGTGACCTTGGGCGAGTGACTTAAAGTGCCCAAACTTGAGTTTCCTCCCTGTGAAAGAAGAGAATCTGCTCCTACCTCCCTGGGCTGTGGGGAATCTTCTAGGGCCCTTCTTGCACATGGCGGGAATCTTGTCCGTCCCCTTCCAGGCCCCCATCTTCGCCCTAGACCTCCCTGGGAGAGCAAGTGGAGAATTTGGACTCCATCTAGCAAACGCAAGCCCCTGCAGGATTAGACCCTCCTTAGTTGGTGACTTTGCACAGCTCTCTAGGAATCCCACCTTCCTAGTCTGGGGGGCCGTGGGATTGGGGGAGAGCACAGTTGCGGCAGTTGGGAGACCTGAATGCTAGTCCATCTCTGCCAGTGACTTTGAGCGAACCCCTTCTCTTCCTTCCTCCTCATTTCCTTCCCTTGCGAGAAGAAGGGGTTCCACAGAACACACTAGTCCCCCCTTACCTATGGTTTTGCTCTCTGTGGTTTCAAAGACCTGCTGTAAACCACCATCTGAAAGCAGATGATCAGAGGGATCATAGGACAAGAAGACTATCATCAGAAGGTCAACAGTAGCCTAATCCACAATTCCTACATCCTTCACCTCACTTCAGCTCATCACGTGGGCATTTTATCATTCACATGCTTGCAGGACAAAAAAGGCTGAGCACAGTATGATAAGATACCTTAAGAGAAACCACAATGATGTAACTTTTATTACAGTGTATAATTGTTCTATTTTATTTTTAGTTACAGTTGTTACTCTGCATAATTTATAAATTAAACTTTATCGTAGGTATGTGTATATAGGGAAAAACAGGTATATGTAAAGGTCAGTGTTACCTGTGGTTTCAGGCATCCACTAGGGGTCTTGGAACGTATGCCCTGTAGATAAGGGGGGAATGACTGTATGCCCAAAATTCCAGCAAATCCAGGGCTCTGCCCACACTCGGCTTGAGATGACCACAGGCTGGGACAGACACATGTTCATATTCGTGGGACTGGCTGCCAGGTGGGGGCTGGGTGAGAGCCTAGCTGACCCCAGCCTATGCTGGTCTCTTGCAGGTGGACACAGAGAAGAAGCAGGTGACTGTGGAGGCTGGCATCCTCCTGGCTGACCTGCACCCACAGCTGGGCAAGCACGGCCTGGCCTTGTCCAAGTAAGAACCACCTCTCCCGTTCCTGGTGGGCCAACACTGCCCACCACCCCTTGCCCTGGTCTTGGCTGGACACTCAAGGATCTGGCAGGAGAGAGAGAAACACTTCGCAGGGCACACCCCCTTTCTCTGGACCCCTGTTCTTTCCCATGGGGTACCTGTCTCCCATCTGTCATGCGAGAATAAAAAGAAACAGGCCAGAGATGGACCGAGCATTAAGTAAAGTTCTTGTAAAGGGGCGGAAAAACTATGGATTAAATTTTTCTTAAAACTTGCAGTAACCAACTGCATGGACCCAGACAGAAGGGTATGCAAAATAAGCACAGAGGAAGAGAAGGGCATGCTGACTGACCCATAGGACTTTGGGATATACTTACCTATGGCTGTACTCATCTCTAGCCAAACGTGTCAGTGATTGCTCGGGTTTAAATATAGGGATTTCCATTGAAATAAGCATCAAATATAGCGAAAGGATTGAATGTCTAACTTTAGAATTTCAACCATTGGAAAAAGGTGACAGGTGTTTTGGATAGTTGGGTAGCAATCTCTTTGCAGCTGGAAACTGTACCCATGGAAGCCTGCTGTTTTTAAGTGTGGGTGGTCCATTTGCCTTAGCTCTCTTATCACAGGCCCAGAGGTATTGCTGCACCTATTTACTCTGGGAACCATCCAAAGATCATGGCAACTCAAACATTTATGAGGTATCTACCATGTGTAGGTCTTGTTCAGGCCCTTAAGAGGCAAAGACGAATAAAACCCAAGGAACTCCTGGCAAGGGGCAGACCAACATCCAAAATGATCAGCATAATGTAAGACAATACGTTCAATGTCAGAGAAGTGTTCAGGGCACTGTGGGGCCCTTAGGAGGCCCTGGGTTCAGCCTTGGCAGGCAGGAGACCATGTGAGGGGTAGGAATCAGGGAGCCCGCAGAAGGGGGCCTCTGGATTGAGTCCTAAACCAGAAAAAAAAAGGAAAGAAGGGATTCAGGCAGAAGGACCAGCACGAGCAAAAGTCCAGGATGGGGGGAGTGTATGGGGCACACGGGGGCCGATGAGCAGATAGTGGGACAGAATCCGTGACCAGTGACAACAGGAAGAGACATGTTCTATTAATGATGGGCATTAGCTTCTGGACTCTGGCATCTCTGTGCCCTGTTCATGGTGTGTCTCTCCCCCCTGGGGACCCAGTCCTCCTCACGTGGCTCCCTGCATGGGGCCCTTATGCTACTCAGAGGGAGTAAGGATGTCCTGTCCTGTGTACCGCAGAGGAGCCTGGGTGGACAGCTCAAGGATGCTCTGGGGACTCCAGGAGTATCTGTGGCTGGGGGGCTGAAGAGAAGAACAGAGCTGAGGCAGGCCCCATGCTGGGTGCTTGGCAGGTGAGGAATAGAAGCCTAGTTACAGGGGAAGAAACCGGGGTCTGAAGCTAAGTGGCTTACCAAAGTCACACAGCTGGAAAGTTCTGGAACACTCCACCATGTGGTGGACCAGAGGAGGCAGGACAGCAGTGTGGTGTGGACCCCAGCTCCAGAAGCAGACGGCCTGGGCGCAAATCTTACTGTTCGCTGTTAGTCAAGTTCCTTGACCCGTCTGGGCCTCAGGCCTGGAAAATGGGTCTTAAAACAGGGCGCTCAGAGGCCTGGAGGAGTTAAAGATGGCCCACAGAACTGCTCAGTAAACGTCCGTGCTCGTTGACCTTCTGGCGAGGCACCCGTGGAGTGCCTCGCTCCTCAGGTTTTGGAGATGACCTTTCCCCTGGCCGTGTTATTTCCAGCCTCTCGGACGCCACGTAATCCTTCCTTCCTTGACCTTTCTCCCTCAGGGCCTCGCCGTAATCCAGTTTATTTCTTTGAACGTGGGTGGTCACAAACCTGTTTCCGTATTGCTTTTTAGTCTGGGAGGCTACGTGGAAAAGAGGAGACACATTGCAGTTCCATTAACCACCCCTTTGTGGGCACTGAGGTCCTTCTCAGGTTGTCACAATTCTACGTAATGCGACGAATGTCTTCGTGCTATGACTTTCCTCGAGTTGGAGGATTTCCCTAGGGCAGGATTCCATGATCCTCTTTTAACATTCTGGTATTTTCCAGGTGCCTGGGTGTCTCAGTCGGTTAAGCATCTGATTTTGGCTCAGGTCATGATCTCAGGGTCCCGGGATGGAGCCCCGCGTTGGGCTCTGCCCTCAGTGGGGAGCCTGCTTCTCCCTCTGCCCCTCCCCCCTGCTCCTGCTCTGTGTCTCTCTCAAATAAGTAAATAAAATCTTTATTTAAAAAAAAAAATGAAGTAACCCAACTCATGTGGATAGACAAGACACAAAGGTGGTACAGGGGGTGAGTAAGGGAAGGCTGGAGAGGCTTGGGTTTCTCCGTTCTTCCTGTTCTGCCAGGACGGCCCCCAGGTCTCACCACCTCCACAGGAAGGTCTGAGGCTGGACTTCCACTCAGGGGCCCTCGGTCTGTGCTGGGAGCCAGGGTGTGTGAGGGGGTGGGCACACGGCGTCAGCTGCTGAGCCCATTTCTCAAGTGGTGAAGATACTGTGTAGCACATGATGCTCCCAACCCCTAGGCACCCGGGGGAGCCTTTAGTAAAATACCAGTTTCCTTCTCCTTTAAGCTAGGGCTGGGATGTCTCAGAGGACTCACCTAAGAAGTAAGATTTTTTTTTTTTAAGATTTTATTTATTTGTCAGAGAGAGGGAGAGAGCACAAGCAGGGAGAGTGGCAGGCAGAGAGAGAGGGAGAAGCAGGCTCCCTGCGGGACTTGATCCCAGGACCCTGGGATCATGACCTGAGCCGAAGGCAGATGCATAACTGACTGAGCCACCCAGGCATTCCAAGAAGTAAGATTCTTGATCACTCTTTTCCCTCGACCCTGAGTTCTGGGCACATCTTTCTAATTCCTACCCCCAGAGCACACCTCTAGAGGGGCCCCTGCTCCCCTTCAGGACTCTGGTCCTCCTGTGCACACACAGGCTCCCCCTCAGAGCTGAACCATGCCCCCACCAGGCCACTGAAATAAGGCTGAGGCTAGAGAGGGGAAGGGCCACCAAGTCAGACAAGCTAAGTCATGGTACCTTCAGGGTCAGAACCTAGGCAAGGGATGAATCCATTACTCTGCTCTGAGGGGCCTTGTCCTGCAGCCCAGTGGAGGGGGTGGGTATGGTCCCAGGGAAGCCTAACTGGTCCCTTGTGTCCCTTTCGCTCCCTCCTGTTGAGCCCAGCCTGGGAGCTGTGTCAGACGTGACCGCAGGGGGTGTCATCGGGTCCGGAACGCACAACACAGGGATCAAACATGGCATCCTGGCCACCCAGGTGAGTCCCCCTGCTTGGCTGCTCCACTACTGCCAGCGGGTGGGGGATGGGACGGACACCTCCTCCCGGCAGCTCCCGGGAAATCAGGGGCTCCATGGGCAGTGTCGGCTCAGCTCCACATAGGTCTCAAAGCCAACCCTTGTTCCTGCCTCTGACAGACACTTGGCAGGTGCCGTCCAGCCACTTTATCTCCTCTAAGCCTCCTCGTCCACAACGGACACAAGTGATGAGACCCCCCGGCCTCTCAGGAGCGTCCTGGCCACCCTGTGGAAAAGGGCAAGCAGGGCGAAAGGTCTGAGCCAGGAGCCAGACAGGGCAAGAGGTCTTCCCAGGGTAGCAAGTCGGGGAGGGGCCAGAACTGGAGCGGGGGCTACCTGGAGTGGAGTCCGGCCTGTGTGGGCCCGGATCTGCCCCTGATCGCCATTGAAAAGCATTTCTTAAACTTTATGAGAGTCCGGTCTGGGGAACTGGCTATAAACACAGATTCTGGACTCGGATCTGGGTTCAAATCCTGCCTCCAACGTGTAGAAGGCATGCACCTGTAGGCAAGTTTTTAACTCCTCTGGACTTCCGTGTTTTCATCTGTAACTCGGAGAGAACAATCCTCAACCCAGGAGGAGCGAAGGAGCTGGCGTATGTTACTTCCGTGGCTGAGCCAAGGGCAGTGCGTGATTCCTGTGCCGGGAGCCTCCCTTTGGAGGGGCTTCCTAACAGGCCCGGCCGTGCGCACAGGGAGGCTGGCCGCTCACCGTGGGGGCCGGGAGAGATCCCCTGTTCCCCGGGCGGCACTCCACAGCTCGCCTTCTGTTTCCACCTGCAGGGGCTCATCTGCACTGTGGGCCGTGGGACCTCCGGCCCCTGGAGCATTACGGCTAAGCACTGGGGCCTGGGTTTTGCATCCCAGCTCTACCAGTATGGTCTGTGTGACCTGGGGCAAGTCTCTACCTGGCTACCTCAGTTTGCTCACCCGGAAAATGGGGATGGTCACAACAGCAATGCATCTGGGGTGCTTAGAAGAGCGTACACAGTTAATGCTCAATAAACATTCGTGATGGGTTTTGCGTGTAATAAGATAGGGCCCTTTCCGGAGCTCACACTCTGTGCTGTAGAAGAAATTTCAGGATTGCTGGGGATCACTTAAGTGACCCCCAGTCAACTACCCAGGTGTATGGCGCTCTCTTGAGGTAGACAGACGCCCCAGCAAGCATTGTCTGAATGTGACCTCTGGGGACTGGGTCTCAAGTGCTCCGGTCTCAGAGCAGCTCTGAGATCAAAGGAAAACGGCCCAAAAGCAATTTCTAAGAGATTCATTTTTGGGGGGGGTTCGGGGGTATTTGTTTTCCTGAACACCACGAGGGAAACCTAATTCACACTTGGCCTTAAAACTTCACTTTGCTTTCTCATCAGCATTGTGCACGGACTCTGGTTGCTCTTGTCCTTCTCCCCTCCCTCTTTCTACCATGAAAGCCCCACAGAACCCCCAGGCAGGTGAGGGGTGTCCTGAGAGAAGGGCGTGAGCCAGGAAAGGGGAAACTGACCAACGGCACCTGTGTTCATCGTGCTCGACCACGCCCACAGGCAAGAGCTGCTGCAGCAAAGCATGCTGGGCTTTGTGGGACCTGATTCCCAGGTACTTGGAGCCATCTGTGGACATGCCATGACTGCTTCAAAGCTGGGTTCGCTGCCCAAGAGAGCCCAGTGGTAACTGGGGGTGTCGGACAACAGCCGCCCCCCAAGATTAGGCCACAGTCCTGGTCTACTATCCAGGGCTGATGGCAGTTGCTACAAAAACGTTCAGCAGAGTATGGGATAATTCTGACGGGCCACAAATCAAAATGCGCATGAGATTTACTGGCCCCTTTTCTTAGGAAGCTCAGCTGAGCAGGACCAGCACCTGGAAAGGAGTTGGAGAGCCCCGCTGTTTTGTTTTACATATTATACCAGTGGCTGGGAGCGAGGGGAGGGGATCGACATTTCAGTGTCCACTGTACACCAGAGACTCAGCTGGATACTACCTACACTGTCTCTGAGACAGTTATTGTCCTCATTTTACAGATGAGGAAACAGAGGTTGGGTAACGTGCCCAAGGTCACACAGCGAGTAAAGCAGTGCCTACCTTTATTTGTTGCTGGACCCTGCTGAGGGGTTTCACTGACCAATTCTCACAGCTCTGGATCGTGGACAGAATCTGGTTTCTATAAAAACCATTCTGATGCCCTCACTCCTACAGATGGCCATGGTGCCCCATTTCTGCCAATTTCTCCCCTCTGGTCTTGGTCGCTGTAAATTGGAATTCGTTCAGCTTTCTCTGTTCTCTCATCCGAGCCCCCAGCAGCCAACTACACATGTCAAAAGCAATTTGCATCCGAATTAGCAGGTAGCAGAATGTGGAGAAGTACTTAACGGGTCCTAAAAGAGGATTCCTCTGGAAATGGGGGCCAAGGCTAAGAGACGGGGGGCTGATGCCAGACCCTTCCTTGCCCCGTAGCCCTGTGGCCAGATGGCATTGATCTTCCGGGGAGATAGGCACCACGTGGCCTCACTTCCAGGATAGAGAGAGTGGGGTGTCTACGGGAAATGCCCCCCCGGGTTCTGAGTGCTCTTCTCCCATGGCTAGGTGGTGGCGCTGACCCTGCTGACGGCCGACGGGACCATTCTTGAGTGCTCCGAGTCCAGCAACGCAGAGGTGTTCCAGGCGGCGAGGGTGCACCTGGGCTGCCTGGGAGTGATCCTCACCGTCACCCTGCAGTGTGTGCCCCAGTTCCACTTGCAGGAGATCTCCTTCCCCTCAACCCTGGAAGAGGTATGGGCGTCTTGTTCGCCACCGCTCAACCTCACAAAATAAATGGAGGATGCTGACGAATAGGCCATGCTCCACTGACAGCCCCAGGGGAGGGGGGAGGGGCTCTGCAGGCCCCCTGAATAGGGGAGTGGGCTGACCTCTCTAGGTCTTCCTTGGCCCAAGGATACTGTGGCCAGATCCCTTTCTGAGCAGGTCAGTGAAGCTCAGAGGGAGGAACTGCAAGGGGTTGGCAGATGTCTGGGCGAGAAGGGAGGTTGGGTAGAGACTTGCCGGGGGAGATACGGTGCTGGCATGAGCTGACTGCTTCTGAGAAGGCATTAACTCTCAACTGCACTGAGCGATAGAAGGTACCCAGGATTCTCTTTACAATGGCTTCTTCACAACCAAGTGGGTGGGCTAACTTTCCGTCTGGCTGGCTGCCTAAGGTCACATGCAGGGGATGTGGATCTAGATGATGGAGGGCAGAAAGGATGACTTCTGACTCACAGCAATGTTTTTTTTTTTTTAAAGATTTTATTTATTCATTTGAGAGAGAGAGAGAGAGAGAGAGCACAAGTAGGCAGAGTGGCAGGCGGGAGAGGGAGAAGCAGGCTCTCCGCTGAGCGGGGAGCCGGACGCGGGGCTCAATCCCAGGACCCCAGGATCATGACCTGAGCCGAAGGCAGCCGCTTAACCGACTGAGCCACCCAGGGGCCCCGTAATGTTTTGGGAATGAATGAAAAGCATGTTGGTTGGTTGACTGGCTGACTGGCTGACTGGCTGACTGGGTAGATGATGGATGGATGCATGGATGGATGGATAATTGGATGCATGGATGCACAGATGCACGGATGGATGCATGGCTGGATGGGTAGCAGGCAGCAGTCCTGAAATGCCTGGTAATCACTAAGCTATGGGACTCAAATTTATGGTTCCAAGTTCCTTGGTCTTTGAGTTCCTCCATGGTCACCTTATCATTCAAGATGAGTAGACCCTCTGCACAGTTGCAATAGGCAATGATGTAAGCACTACTGACCCAGTGTGGGTAAGGTGGGGTTGGCGATCCAGTTCACTTGGCCTTGAATGCTGGCTCTGCCACTTTTCACCTGTGACCTTGAGCCTATCATTGAACCTTGTTAAGCCCTAGTTCCTCATCCAAAATAAGAGTTTAATAATACCTACCTTAAGGTACTGAGTCTGAGGATGAAATCAGGTAACACACATAAATTACCTAGTTCAGTATTAAAATATGCCCCCAGTGGCACCTGGTCAGTGATAAAAGGAAAATATTGTTACTTAGAACCAGGTCTAAAATCCTGACCTCAGAATTTCTAATGCATGAAGCCACAAGGCAAAGGCCTTAAATCCAGAAGGTCCCCTACTAAGAGGCATGGTGTTTAGTGGGAATTTATCCCCAGAACTCCCAGTCGGTGGTAAAAAAGTGATTCCACGGCTCTAGGGGAGGCAGCATCGATCCCTGGAGTACCAATAGTGAGCCTGATGGGACAGTAATTGGCAAGCGAACTGCCTGATGCCTTGGCCCAAGAAAGTAGGACTAGTTTGGGACAAGGACATTTCATGGAATTGTTTGGCAGGGACAAGGTGTGGCTAGGAAGTCCCACAAGGGTCTGGCTGGAGGTCCACATGACTCTGCCTGGAACCAGACTCTGAGATCTTAGGGGCCACCTAGGCCTACCTCAACCAGCTACAATCTTCCGGACCACCACTAGAGGGCAGGTCTAGACCCCTCGTTCACTCCCAAGTAGGGTTCAGAAAGCATCCTACATTCTGTTCAGTGCCAGACATACTGATTGAGGCCTCCTGTGGGGTCAGCGTTTGAGACTCATATGACACTAGGGCTAACTCCTAAGGCCATGGAATAACATTCTGAGCACCCACTGCAAAGATCGATTTTCCCTTCAGCCCTCTTGCCTCTAGTATTCTCAGGCTTTCCCTTCTGTACTACTTAGAGGGGTGACCCCTCCATCCTGGTCATGCAGCAAGATGTGGCACGGACCCCCACTGAGACACAACCCACGTATTCTTCTCAGGCTTCAGCTGGGAAGCCTGGGTACCCCTTTCTTCTCCTCAATGGACCCAGTGGCAGTCTGCTTCTCCCCCCACCCTTGGCATCTGCCACCATCCATCCTCTGTACCCTCCAGGTTGTCTTGCCCCTGGACTGGCTGCAGAGGAGATCACAGATGCTCCAACTTCCCTCATCCCTGTTGCTTCTGAACCAAGCATTCCAGTCTTCTCAGCCAAAGCATTTTTAACAGGGAATTACAGAAAGGTGTGCAGGGGGAGGTTACAAAGATAGATCATCTTGGTCCCCACTCTGAGATTAACCATATATGCTGACATGGCTAACAAAGGCACGGGTGTGTTGGACCTGGGGCTCCAGGACCAACAGACTAGGCAGCCTGCTCTAGGGCTTGAAACTGAAGACAGTAGCCAGTGCAGATGGCCCGGACAGGAGCTAAAGAAATGGTTCATAACAACTGTCAAGTCCCAAGGGAGCCTGGCAGATAGCACTTTGGCAAAAGTACACTCTGGGAGGGAGATTTGGAAGAGAATGAGGTAGAGTGGGTATAGACTGGAGAGGTACTCAAGGGGCTGAAATACAGAGCCAAGCCCACTTTTTTTAGGGCACAAATTCAAGAGATACTTAAGATGAGGAACCAGGAGGACTTGGCAGCTGAGTGTGGGTTTGAGGGAGTCGGAGGCAGGAGGCAGAAATGGTGTTACCACTGAGGTGGAGCAACCAGGAAGCACAACAGGTATGGGGAGTAAGATGATGAGTTTAGTTTGGGAACTCGGGTTTGAGGTGCCTCAAGTGGAGGTATGGGAAGGCAGCTGGCTTTGCATGTTTGGAACTCAGGAGGCAGAGGCTGGAGGTAGAGATTGGGGGGTTGTATTAGTCTGCTAGGGCTGCGGTAACAAATAGCACAGGCTGATCAAGGTGTCTACAGCGTTGGTTCCTTGTGGGGACTCTCCCCTTGGCTTATAGATGGCCATCTTCATGCGTGTCCTCACGTGGTCTCCTGTCCATGCATATCTGTGTCCTAATCTCTTCTTACAAGTACACTAGTCATATTGGATTAGGGCTAACCCAATGACCTCATTTAACCTTGATTACCTCTTTAAAGTCCTTGTCTCCAAATATAGTCTTATTATGAGGTAGTGGAGGTTAGGATTTCAATATATGAATGGGGGATGGACACACTAGAGGCCAAAGTAGGGGTCTTCAGCCCCCTAGGTGGTCATGGGGTAGGCAAGATCACCCAGAGACAGTGAGTTTGGGTGATAAGGGAGCGGAAAAGAAGATGGAAAGGTGTCAAGGAGGAGACCGAGGAGGACGGGTTATAGAGGAATGAAGCCAATGAGGAGAAGATGACCACAGAGGCAAGGGATGCCCGGTGTCTGGGATGGAGCGGTCAACAGGGTCCAAGGCCATGGGGAATTGGAGTGTTTACTGGTCTGGTCATCGGGAGGCTGTAGCTGACCTTGGTGAGGATGGTTTCAGTGGGGAGCATGGGGCAGGTTAAGGGATGGATGAGCATCACCAACGAGGAAGGGAGATGGGCAGCACAGACCGCTTTCAAGCAGAAAGGGGCTGTAATGTCCTCTGCTGTTGAATCTAATTTCCTACCTCTCACTTAGGTTAGCGCTTGTTAATTGTTAAGCTGAAGGTTTTGACCCAGAGATAAAAAAAAAATGCTGCTTTTTGCCAGTAGGACTGGCCCCCAGGTTCCTACTAAGATATTGTAGCTGAGTAGATGGTTGGTCTCCTAATACCTGGTCTGTTCTCTTTCTGCTGCTCCTCTGACCCAGCTGAGATTCACTAAGATTGATTACAGCCAAGTCCTGGTTCTAGTGGAGCCTATCTCAGACCGTCCTCCCCTACCCCAACACACTCACATATGCACGTGCATGCATGCACGCACACACACACACACACACACACACACACGCTGGCTGGCCTCTGTGTCTGTTGAGAGCTCAAGGATTTTTTTGCCTTCAACTTACCTCAACATGGAGACTTCTAACTTAGACACTACATCCTTGAAAATTCTAAGTGACTCTAGGCAATGGGCTACATTCTTCTCATAGCTTCCAACTTTGATTTTGAAAAGCCATGATGACACATGAGAAATAGCAGTTGCAGTCTCCTCCCCTAAAAGACAAAGTAGGCGCACACAGACACACCTAAACACACACACACAGTTACACAGCAGTAAACACTCAACAGGATGTAATGAAAGGTCTCTGGGGAGGGAAACAGGGCCCCCATCTGGCTGTGCTGCTACCCTGTTTGAATAGGGTCCCCTGCCACCCTGACTGAGCAAATACCTCACATTTGGGGTGCCCAATTTCTTTACCTTTTAAAAGCAGAGTCAAAGCAGATGGCCCCTAATGTCTTTCTCAGCCCCGACATTCTGTAAGTCAGAGCAGTGCTTGGATGCGAAGCTCTCCCCCCATCCGCTCGCCACACCCTGGAGGCAAGGGTCACCTCTGGCATTATTGTTTCTCTCCTTTGGAGCAAGTGCTTGGGCCCTACCCCCAGGGAAAGGCACGAGCCCCGTGAGGAACACCCCCACAGCTCCCGCATAGACCCCAGCTCACCCCGAGAGGGCTCATGGAGCAGCAAGCTCTCTGTGGATCTCCCCCTTTCTGTGAACTACAGGGCTACAGAGCCAGCCTGGCTCTCTGAGAAGCCCCATCATCGGCTTCCATCAAATTCCGCCCACAGCCTTCCCCACACTCTCAGGCCAGAAACAAAGGACTGCCACAGAAGGTCAGTGGCATTTGCAGCTCTGTGATTTATTCCAAGGGGTGTGTGCAATAAATGGCCCCATATTCAATTTGCTTTTGCTCTCTCCACTCAAAGCAGCCTTTAAAGGGCACCGTCAAGAGGCTTTGAATGTTTAGGAAGAAGAGCTAAGTGGATATAGAGAGCCACACAACACGGCCTTGCTCCCCTCAAAGGAAACAAACCCATACCCGTAATTTCTGGCCATTTAGGTTCCCGGAAACTGTCCCACCTCCATTGGGGTGGCAGACTGCTGCCCTGAGTGTTTACCTCTATGTCTGGGCAGCTCCCCAGCATCATGTCCTCTCTGGGCACGGGCTTGTCCCTGACGGCCAAGGCCACCAGGTTGGCTGGTCCTGAGCTACAAGAGGAGCATTTGAGGAGTAGGATGACAGGAAGCCAGGACAAAGGAGAATGACAATTGCTTCTTGTGCATAAAGTTGGGTTTGAAGAGCTAGCTGCTCCACCATTTTTCCTTCCCTTACATGTCTTTCCTTCCCTTTTCTCCTCCTTCCCTGCCTTCCATCCAGCACGTGTCTATAAATATAACCTACCATGGGTCTTCCAGCCTTGATCTCCAGAAGAGCCCAAATACACCCAGCATGAGGGGTGTGGTGTAGAGGTTGGGAATACCTCTCCAAGTCACACCACCAGGTTTGAAGCCTGGTGTCTCCACTGACCCTGTCTGGGTCTGGAGAAGTCCCCTCACTTCCCTGAGCTTGGATTCCGTACCTTTGTGGTGGGGATAAGACCTCCACTGCCCCCATGGGATGTCAGGACTCAAGGAAACACAGCAGGCGAACCCCCTTTGCTTTTCTTTAGAGTGTCAGAGAGAGGAACCCCCAATGCCTCCTCTCTCTGACTTTACTCACAGAGAATATTACCCAGAGACACCTGCTGTGTGGGTAGAGCCCAGAATCCCAGTCAATGCTGTACTTTCTAGGCTAGGGGTGCTGGTCACACTGCTTTGCTCATGGACATTGTCACCACTTCTTGAAATGTCCCTCCCCCGCTTCTGCGGCTCAGTGATTCGTTTCTGGAGGGCAGGGATTTTATCTGAGGTCTCTTGTTCCCCAGCATCCACAAAATACATGGCAGTGCTCAATACAAGGTAACTCAAGGTCAGTTGATCAGCAGTTTATTAAAAATCCATCCTTCCTGGGATTTACCCCATCTCCTCCCACCATGCTGTGTGGTGGTCCATCTCAGATACAACATTACTGAGTCCCTTAAATACATTACAACATGATTTCTGAATGCTGCTCACAGCTATATGAGGGGAAACGGTCATTCCTGGGCCTCAGGGAGAGTTGCAATCAGTGTATCTAGATGCAGGCAGGTGGGGCAGGGAAAGTTGGCTCGTCCAGTTTCGTGGTGCCAAGAAAGGGGCAGCCTTCACGGCTTTTCTGACAAAGTCTCAGCATTTTAGACTCCTGTCATTTGGTCGGTATGGGATCTCAACCAGTTAGAAGGCGTGAAGATTTTCGAAATTGTTGTCAACCTTTTTGCCCTTTATGCCCCCCAAAGCATAATGAGATGTGATAAGGACAGCTGGCTGCCACATCCCCCCTCCTGCAGCACCCCAGGAAGCAGGATTGGTCCCAGCGTGTCACCGACCTGGTCAGCAGCATCCGGATGACAGCCACTCCCTGGTGTGGCTGTCCGCTGAGGCTGAGACCCACCCCCCACCCCAGTCAACTTGGAGCCCTCTGCTCACAGCCTGATAGCCAGTTCCCAAAAGCCAACTCAGCAGTGCCACAACATCTAAATCGGGGTTGGGGGGGCCGGGGGGGGGAACAGAACCTCTAGAACCCTTCATGTCAGTAATGTGCCAAGGGAGGGATTCCTTTGGGACCCAGATGGTTGTGATAGTGCTCCCAAGGAAACACAAGTCCGATCAAGGAAGTCCATGATCCTAGGGACCATCCTCCTCGTTAGGATGGTTTGTGGGTCCTGAAGGAGAGAGTTTAATTTACAGTGTGTGTGTAGGGGTGGGGGTCACCGTTCCACCACCATTCAGCAGCCACTTCGTGCTCAGTTAGGGGCGATGGAGAGTCCAGAGCTTGATTATGAATGGTTCATGCCTCTAGAAGCTTATAATTATGTGTGTGAGTGGGGGGCGGGGGAGATAAGTCTTGTTTCTCTCATGCAGGGAGGAAAACAATGGCAGGGAGAGGCACAAAATGTAATGGGGGTTTGACCCTTCATCACTCCATTCTAGGTAGGAAGCTGAAAACGCCATTACATTTATTACTGGGATTCTGGGCAATAGAGTGGGAGGGTCCGGGATGCAAACCATGAGGAGTTGGGGGGGTTTCTCCTTTCCAGTGTCCCAGCCACTCCTCCAGGCCAAGCCAGCAGGCTGTGTTCTTGGCTCTCCCAAGGGGAAGATCAGCTCTGCCCAGAGGCTTCCTACCTGAGAGCCTTTGGACCATGGGTCCAACACCCTGTCAGGATGGAAGTGATAACGACGGGGGCCCTGGGATTTCATCCTAAACTTTTCCTGGGCCTTCAGCATAGCAGAAAAGGCCTTCCTCTTCAAATATGGAGGGATAGGGTACTCCAACATTTTCTGTGCAAGGCATTGTGCTGGCAGCTTAAGGCAAGGGATTGAGAAACTACAGCTCACAGGCAAAATCTGTCTCACTGCCTGTTTCTGTAAATAAAGGTTTATTGGCACACAGCCACGCTCATTGTTAATGTATTGTCTGTGGCTGCTTTCATGCTGCCACGGCAGAGTTCAATAGTTGCAACAGAGACCATATGGCCCCCAAAACCTAAGATATTTCCTATCTGGTTCTTTACAAAAAATTTTGCTGATCTCTGCTCTAGCAGGGGGAGCCAAAGCTGGATGAGATAGTCCCTGACGTACAAGAGAATGTTGCCCAATTTCAGAGACAGACGGAAGCTTCAATAACTACAGTACAGTTCTGGGATGGATGCAATATAGGTAGAAGCCACTTAGAATGGGAGGAGATGGCTTTATGAGGAACATTTCAGTTATATACATCGCAATTCAGGTAAGTCACTTTTCAGGTGCTCAGTGGCCACTTGTGGCCAGTGGCCGTTGTATTGGACAGTGTTCGTGGACGGAGGTCACAGATGCTGAACAAAGTTGTGTGGGTTTTATTCTGTAGGAAATCAAGAGCTGCTGGGGATTTCTGAGCTGTGCTTTGGATGTTCTCTGGAGATGTTGTCTGGAGAGATGAGAAAGGGGGGATATTATGAGGCCAGGGCAAGAGTATGGTTGACAGCTAAGAAGGGCGTGTACTACATCACAGCAGCAGCAGTGGGTCACAAGAGGAAGCTGGGGAGACATTGGAAGAAATACGATAGGGGACCAACGGGTTGGAGTCAGAGTGGGGTGGGGGAGGGTTAGGATGACAGCCACGCCGCTTGAATGCAACAATCGTCCACCCATCCTTGTATCCCTGACTGTACCATGCACTGGTTAGCAAGTCGGGGGGCCTCCCTGACAGTCATGACAAAGACCCAGAATTCCAAAGTTCCACTGCTCTCAGACACGCCAAACTTAAGTTCTAGATGGGTTCATCTCAGTGCTTCATCTTGATTTCACCTTCCTTGCTGATCAGATGTGGCCAGCCTCTCTCAAGCTCACCAAACTCTTTATAGACACTGTATTGACGCATGATTGGATCCAGCCATTTGTCTATGCTAGGTACCAAATTCCCCACAGTGTGTTTGGTCAATAAGTTTTTTTTTTTTTTTCCTGTTTTCCCTGACACTCTGTCCTCCCTCACTCACATGGTGAGTTTCCAGCTTATAAAGTGCTTTTAAATCCATGATTTCCCCTGCTCCTCACAACAGCCCTAGAAGGAAGGAAGGAAGGAAGGAAAGGTATTACTGTCTTCATTCTACAGGTGGGGAGATGCAACCCACAGGCCTCAAAGGGCTTCTGTAAGTTACAGCTAGGGAATTTTGGGGGAATAGGACTTGGTATATCGATGTGTGTGTCCCAGCATTGATCAAATCCAGAACCAAACTGTTCCTTGGGCACATGCCACATGGTAGTCACTGTACTTGGGAGCTTTGATGTAGATTGTCATTTCGTTGCACAAATGCTCACCTGTTATTGATGGGAAAACCAAAGTTCAGGGTACATGGCTCCTTCAAGGTCATGCAGCTAGTAAGCTGCGGAGCAGGGCTCAAATCCAGAACTTACTCCAAGACCAGTGGTGCTTTTCCTCCACCTCCCAGCTCCCTGTCAAAGCCCCAGTCTATCTACCCTTGTCTCAGAAATTGTCCTGGGTCTGCTTGATGGGTTTTAGGGAGACATGGTTTGCTCTGTGGTGTCATCTCCAGGAGTGCAATGATGAGTCGTAGTAGAGCGGGATTCTTCTGTTCGTTTTATTAAGGATCTGTGATGTGTTAGGCATTATGGGGATAAAAGATGATGGTGACAAGGATGATGGTGATGACAGTGACAATACGGGGGCAGCAACAGCAGCAGTTGCTTACCATGTGCAGTGCTTACCATGTTTGCGACACCATTAGTGAGTTTCATCTTTATACCAGCCCCGACATGGGTATTGGTATTAGTCCCATTTTATAGATGAGGAACCTGAGGCACGGGGATGTTAGGTGCCTCGCCCAAACTCATATGGCTAGGAATTGTTCCAGCCAAGACAAATAAGAAATCATTTCTATCCTCTGAGCTGCGTGGGGAAGTCAACATGCAAAAGGACCATTTTAATGTCCGGCATATTACAAGCCACATTCCATGTCAGTTGACAACGTTAGGACAATTTTAAGTATTTTCTCTTGACAGGGAGAAACTGACGCACCCCCAGGCCCTGACTCCCAGTACTTTCCCACCATCGTCCTGTAACTAACACAGTCTTCCCTTTCTCCTGCCGAGGTCAGGTTCTTAACAACCTGGACAGCCACCTGAAGAAATCTGAATATTTTCGCTTCCTGTGGTTCCCGCACAGCGAGAATGTCAGCGTCATCTACCAGGACCACACCAACAAGGTAGCAACAGCATCATTCCCATCCTTACACAGAGCCTGCAGTCCCCAGGGTGGCTGACATTTGTCATTGTCCCGATGATCAGTGAGGTGTGAGAGGGAAAGCAAGAGTGAACATCACTGAGCATGAGGACAGAAACCGAAACGGTGGGAGGGTGGAAGGAGGAAGGAAAGTTGGCCCATAAGGGTGCAATGTGACCACAGGTAGGGATGTGTAGGAGTGAGGTCAAGGGACAGCCTAGATGTGGGAGAGGGAAGCAGAAGTATTGGCAGGACGGGATAGGATAAGATGAGTTCAAGGCGGCTGGGCTATACCTCTAACCACCTAATACACCTCCACCTTCCCTCCAACACCCCCATCTTTCCCACCCCCAACCGGACAAGTGAAGGAATCAATAGTTTTGTCTCGCCCCTTAGCAAATGGGCTGCTTCTTGGCAGAACACAAAGCCATCACTTAGGATGAATGTTCATGGGACAAGTCAAGCAAAAGCAATGACACTCATTGTGTGTTAGGGGCTGGCAAGGGGTTTGCTGGACACCTGCCTCATGGGCCCAGAAGAGGAGGGACAGATGTACATCTTTGTCTTGTGCAGAATAAATACATACATAAATACACATGAAATGAAAGGGGCACGAGATTTGGCTGTGTCACCAAGAAGTGAGGCTCTCAATTGTCCTGATAGGTGGGTCACCCCCCCCAAACACACACATGCAGCCACTCCTGGGACACATCTCTCTCAAGGGGACACTGTGATGCATAGGTCAGAAGGCAGCCACTGATTCCTACTCCAGAAACCAATAATGCATTCTATGGTAACTAACAAATTTAAATGTATATGTATATGTATTTATATATATATGAAGGCAGCTGAGCTCTGGCCCTGAACTGATCACAGATTCTTCTTCCCAGCCCCCCTCCTCTTCTGCCAGCTGGTTTTGGGACTATGCCATCGGATTCTATTTACTGGAGTTCCTGCTCTGGGTCAGGTAGGAATGCAAGGGTACCTTTTTCCAGTATCTGCTATATGCTATTGAGGATGTGGTCCATCAGAAGAATGACACCCTGGGGACACCTGGGTGGCTCAGTTGGTTAAGCAGCTGCCTTCAGCTCGGGTGGCTCAGTCGGTTAAGTGGCTGCCTTCGGCTCAGGTTATGATCCCAGGGTCCTGGGATCAAGTCTCACAACGGGCTGCCTGTTCAGCGGGGAGTCTGCTTCTGCCTCTCTGCCTGCCGCTCCCCCTGCTTTGTGCTCTCTTGACAAATAAAATCTTAAAAAAAAAAAGAAGAAGAAGAAGAAGAATGACACCCTGGCCTTTATGCATGTAAGTTGGTTCTGTGTCCTGGGTCTAGATCAGTGATTTTCAACCCTGCCTGTACATTCAAATCACCTGAGAAGCTTTTTAAAAAATACCAATGCTCAGGCTCCACTATCTGGCCCCCAGATGATGTAAATGTTCTCATACTGTCCTATTTTCTACCTCCTTCCCAGCCTAAAATCTGTGCTTATGCTCAGGCCCCGTGTCTGCCGGTATACATGGAACTCTGAGCGATGGGGAAGGTTTGTTTCATGGGGCCTTGAATGGTAACTTTGCATCCAGCCAAGACATGGAATGGCGTCATATAATTTTTTGAAATAGTTTATACATGCAAAATAATACAGAAAACATAAAGTATAAAAAATCATGTAATAAGCACCCATGTGGTTACCACCAGCTTAAGAAATGAAACAACACAAATAAAATTGGAGAGCTCTTTGTGAAGTCCCAAATCACAGCCTCCAAGGGATTACCAAGAAGTAATCACCGCCCTGAACTTCATGCTTATCATTCCCTTGCTTTTTAGTTTTATGAATCCTGAAATAATTTGATTTGGTTATTCAGCTTCAATAGTGACAATTACCCATGTTGATATGGATAGCTATTAATTACTCATATTACACTGTTCATGATGTGTTTATCCATACTCAGATTCTATTTGGGTTCTTTCCAGGATTTTTTTTTTTTCCGTTACAAATGATATTACTGTGAACAGTCTCAACTATTGCTCCTGGTGCCCCTTTTTCTTTTTTTTGTCCTGAGTGGAATTTGTCATGCATGGAATACTCAACAGTGGAATTCCTGGGCCATCGAGTGTATCTTCAGCCTTAATCAGATCCAATTGTTCTCCCAAATCCAATTGGTCTCCCAAGTGGTTATATACCAAGTTACCTCACTGGGCACTATCAGATTCTCTGTGCTCTGCAAGCCAGTCAAAATTGGAATTGTCAGGCTTTTACATTTTCATGTGACATGTATTAAATAGTATCTTACTGTGATTTTGAATTCTTATTTCCACGCTTACTCATACGGGTGCACAGTTTTTCATTTTATTGATCCTTCGGATTTCTCGCCTGTGAAGCACCTATTTATGTATTTTGCCCTTTTAAAAAATTTGGTGGCTACTTTTTTTTTTTTTTTTTTTTTTACTGTCCTGTAAGGTTTTATTGATATATTTTGGGCACTCAGTTTTTGTGTTGCAACATCTCCCTGTTTGTGTTGTTTTTCACTTTTATGGCTTTTTCTTTTTTTGATGTGTAGATGTATTTAATGTTAATATAGTGAAATTTAGCCATCTCTTCTTTCACCTTGGGGACTTCTGTGTCTTATTAAGAAATCCTTCCCTAACAAAAGGGCATAAAAGCCCATCAAGGGTGGGACTGATGACAGGACGTGCGGAACTAGCTGGAGTTCTTGTCAGTCCTAGATGCTGGACGCAGCTGAGACCTTCGGCACCGTAGGTCTGCATCCGGGCATCTGGGGAAGAGTTGGCCTCCCCTGGGGTGACACCGCCTGGGACCCACGCTAGGGTGACTAACTGCTTGGAAGATGTTACGAGAGTGAAATGCAAGCCAGGACTCATTGCATCTGAGCAGGGAAGGGACAGGGAGCCGTGAGGAAGCCCGCCTGGGGGCCACTGCTCCAGCAGAATATGGATGGGAGCGTGTGGAAAATGCTGGGTGAGGCTTTCTCTCCACCTTCCATCATGGCCTCTCAGCAGCTTTCTGTGTGTGTGTCCAGGGAGCCCGAGCCCAGTGAGCACCCAAATAAGTTGGGCTCTAAATCACTGCTGCCCCTTCCGGGCCTGAGTGGATGCTCTGTGAGAGCTTCGCAGCCTCCGAGCTCAGCCCATGTGGCTCTGGCTTAGCTGCTTCTGGAAACCTGTCCACCCGTCTCACCCTGGCAGCTCTGCAGCGCTCACTAAGCTGTGTGCCCGAAGGGGCGGGAATGAGAAGTGAATAACAGATTGTACTTGGTGGTTTAATGGCTGCTTTCAACAAGACTCACTGTGTCCCTGCAAGGGCGGGGACCTTGTCTGTCCCATCACACTCTGTCCCCAGTGCCCCAAACAGTGCCTGGCACTTACGGGAGGCTCCGGGATATCTGTGTAAGAAACACCAAATAAAGGGGTGCCTGGGGGGCTCAGTCGGTTGGGCGACTGCCTTTGGCTCAGGTCATGATCCCAGGGTCCTGGGATCGAGCCCCAC